GGTTATAAAATATTGTTCTGGGGGCGCTGGAATGTAGTCAATCATCCTCTGAAGACAGTATTTACACAGAATCATAAAATTTGGCTTTGGCAGACCAGGATATAATGGAGAAATTCAGAGGAGGAGAGAGATGGAAAACCCACACGTCCATGAGTGTACATGTAAGAACAGAGAAGTTATTTCTAGAAGAAAGCTCAAGGAAAAGACACCTTGTTTGAAGAGGCTAGCAGAGAACATAAACAAGAAATCTTTAAACTAAATGGAAAGGAATCCTTAAGGACTTTGGAGAGATGTTAGGAAATCAAAGAATGGCCTAGCTCTGGGGGCACAGGTGTTAGGGCACCCCTGCATGATGCCTGGGTCACAGGGGAGGCCCAGGTTCAGATCCAAGTCAGTCTGGGCATACTAGGTACATATCTGTGCCTGAGGTCCTGGCCAGCCAGGAGACGGGGGAAGATTGCAGCAGGGAGCAGCCCTGTCAGGAGTACCTCTGGCAGTCAGTCTCCCTCTTTCATTCTCTCTTCCTCTCCTCTTCCCACCCAAGCTTTCTGTTTTTCATTAAAAATAACAATAAAGTGGGGAACCAGCAGTTAGCATAATGGCTATGTCGCTGGACTCCCATGTAGTTGACCGCGGTTTGCGTCCCGGACTCGGTGGCTTAAAACTCACGCCGGGCGTGTGTGCGTGCGTGCCCAAGATCCCGAGAGGAGAATGGAGGAGTAGAGATTGTGGCGTGATCATCCCCCCTGGGGGGTGATTTCTCGCCTTCTGTCTCTATGTCTCTCTCTGTCTGGCGAGCGCACACGCCCTATAGCAAAAACCTCTCCAAAAAAAAAGAAAAGTAATAAAACAACAATAATGTGGCAATGTTAATAGATGAGGGTTGTCATCTATTTTAAATACACACTGTTTTGTTCCCTAAAACTTTGGGCAGCTATTAGTAAAAATTGAATGGGAAGCTTTGATAACTTTAATCAAACCTAAGTAACTTTTCTAATGAATACTTATTCTGTCACCTAAATAATAATGCAGGTAGGTAATACAATGACTAGAATGCCTAGGTTTGAGTCCTGTCTCTGCTGGCTACGTTCCCTTAAGGGAGTGACATACTCTCTCTGTTTTTGGTTTCTTTATCTATAACATGGAGGTGGTGATAGCTCCCTCATGGAATTGTTGCAATGATACATTTTAAGGCTTTAGATTTGTGCTGGCACATGGCGGTATTCAATTACTGCTAGTTGTTATTATAGATGCTAAATACCAATAAAACTGAGTAAATTAAATAATTGCAAACTCATATACTTATATCAATCTTTTTTGTACACTTATTTAAAATTTAAATGTACCAAATTAGTGCCCTCCTTTCCCTCCCTCATTATATTAATTAAAAAAACCTAAAAATGTCATTTCCCTTGTGTGGCACTTGCCTCTGTTCTTTTGGCACAGAAATTATTTGGGCATGCAAGCACATAAATATTCCTTTTTGAAAATCTCCAGAGAAAGGGGATATTATACCAAGTTTAAAATGGAACATAACAGGTTCATTGAAGAAAAGTTAAAGTTTTAATTAAAATCCCAAATTATTTTTAAGTTAGTTTGCCATAAAAATATGCAAGCTTACATTAAATATAGGCTACACTGACAGAGAAAATTTTCTTATTATAAGGATGGTCAAATAATTGGTCATGTTCATTTAAAATTTGTTTTTCAGTGGTATGCCTGTTGTAGATGAAAATAAACACTAAGAAATGTGCTAAGATTCAAAGAAAATATCAATACAGTCTAAAGCAAAAAGAGCTAATTTGACATTTTCAACATAATAAGATACAGGATGCAGGTGATGGAAGACGTGCACAGCGTGAGATAGGTAAGGTGGGTTGTCTTACTTATCTCTGTAACTTCACAGTCTAGCATAATGCCTGAGGTAGGAATTTTTGTTTTGTTTTGTTTTAGGTTTTTGCCATGGGGCGCTCACTTACTGGAAAAAGACCAAGAGAGATAGAGAGAGGGAAAGGGAGAAATCAGGGGGTGCCCTGGTAGGATGGCCAGGCCACAATCCCTTCTCCTCCATTCTCCTCTTGAGATTTTTACCCTCATTTTGCACAAGAGGAGGCAACAAGCATTAAGTAACTGATTCAAAGTCAAATAACTAATAAAAAGCAAACTTGGCATTTAAATCCAGGCCTACCTAACTGCAAACTTGTGCATTTCCATCATGTTACACTGCCTCCTCCAGGTATCCCACATGAAGAATGAGAAAGAAGTCTGGGACACTTGCTTTGAAAGGACTCCTGTTTACTGCTGTTTACAACTAAGGGCTCAGAACAGCTTAGCAGGCAGTATTTCTAATTTGCAATATTTTTACAAAAATGGATATGTCCAACTGTATAATAAACTGGATACAGACTCAAAACTTTATTAAGATTGATGAAGAAAAAAATCCTAAACAATTCTAGTACACTGATGTTTTCTAAGCCACTTACAATTTTCTACTTCCTCCCCCAGATTTAAAAACTGCCTTTGGGGGACCAGCAGTTAGTGTAACAGCTATGTCGCTGAACTCCCATGTAGCCGACTGCAGTTCGAGTCCCAGACCCGGTGGCTTAAACTCATGCCAGGCACATGTACGTGTGTGCCCAAGATCCCGAGAAGAGAATGGAGGAGAAGGGATTGAGGCATGGCCATCTCCCCTGGGGGGTGATTTCTTGCTTTCTATCTCTCTATCTTTCTCTGTCTTTCTGGCAAGTGCATGTGCCCTATGGCAAAAAGCTCTCAAAAAAAAAAAAAAAAAAAAACTGCCTTTGGAAGTCTTCAAGTTTGCCAACCTGCCCTAAGTCTAAAAAGCAATATACGTTATTTGGTTATTATCTTCAGGATTATATATAAATGTAGAGACATGGAGTTAAAAGTTTAGAGTATATGCCTAGTCTAGGTCCAGTTAATATGTCTGGCAAAAAAGGTCCAGTTAATATGTCTGGCATGCCTGAAAAATCCCAGGAAGCTGCTCCTGACTGCTTGTAAAAACAGACATTGGAAGACAGGCTATGCTTCAGGTAGAAGTTTGTTTCACTTAATGAAATGGACAGTTTTCAGCAGTGACACAGGGCTGTGAGCTCAGGCAGGAACATGTAAAAGGCCTTACTAATGTGTGAGTGCTGGGAGCTCCACAGGAAGAAAGAATTAGATCAACTCATACAGTGGCAGGGCCCTTTCCAGAAGGTTCTATTCAAAGTATTACGGTATTAAATAAAGACTGCTGGAAATCACATAGTTTTATGGAAACCTCAGAAGCTTCTTTCTGAAAAAAATCTGGGATTAGGAATGGATTGGTTTACTCTGCTCCTAGTAAATAGTGACAGGGGAGGTGATGACTGGGTCACTGTAAGAGAGAGCAGTGGGAGGAGAAGGTGAGGTGGTGAGTGATGGCACTTCAGAGGAAGCCCATTCCAGGTGGGGGCGGGACACAGCCCTTTCCTCCTCTGGCTTCTTCCCAAGAAAGAAGCAGCACATTTTCCCCAACAAAGCCCATGCTGTATGTGACTATACCAAGAGCTTAGTTTACCCAAGTTTAGAGTTCAGGAGAGGGGAGAGAAAGAGGAAAATGAAGGTGAAAATGAGAGGTAAAATAAATAAATTCTGTTTTCCAGGTTCTAAGACTACTGTACCAGTAATGACTTGATTCTTCTGTGCCTAGAAGACTGGAATCTGAGAAATAGGTAGAAATGCTGAAGAGAGGGATGGTTATTAAGTGGGGGATCAATTAATTTCTTAGTTACACAAGAGATGCAAAATAGGGGCTGGCAGGTGGCATGGTGGTTAAGGGTGCTGGACTCCCACATGGCCAAACACAGTTCGAGTCCTGGACCTGGTGGCTTGCTTTCTCACTTTTTGTCTCTCGCTCTCTCTCATTTTGTCCCTCTCTGGTCAAATATAAACAGATAAACAAATTAATTAATTAATTTAATTAAATTAAAGAATTGTTTTTAAAAAAGAGATGCTAAATAAAGCTTAAAATAAAATGAAAAATTCTAGTACTAAGACACTAATTTATCAAACATAATTTTTCATAAATGTAAAAGTATAATCATTTGGATTTCATTAAAAAAAAAAATAGAGGCCAGTAGGTGGCATAGTGGTTAAGGCACTGGACCCCACATAGCCTGTTGCATGATTTGAGCCCTGGACCCAGCTGCTTGAAAATCATGCTGGCATGTGTGCGTGCATACCCAAAATCCTGAGAGAAGAACGGAGAAGAAGAAGTTGTAGTGTGACCATCCACCCCTAGGAAGGTGATTTCTCATCACCACCACCACCACTACCACTACCACCCCCGCACACACCACCCCCATCTTCCTCTGGCAAACACATGCACCCTACAGCAAGATAAAAAAACAAACAAATAACAAAACAGTAATAGAACCTTGATTTGCAGTTGATGAGTCATCAAAACAACAAAACTTTAATTTTTTTAACCCAATTTTTGGCGTAACGAATTAAACTTGCTGAACTGATGGCGAAAGACAGGGGACGTGATGCACAACTGCACTCCAGGCTTCCTCGGGGTTTGCCAGTCTTGCACAGCACGTGCAGATGTGTCCAGGTGGGCTACGCTTGCCCCCCGGGAGGCTTCCTCCCTCATCTTCTCGCTAACAAGATGAGCAGTGGTCCTCACACCCCTCCTGGGTACCATCAGAAGAAACCGGAGGAGGGCATTATGGTCCTCGAGAGCAATGCGATGATTAAGTCAGTTGGGGGCATGTGGATGTGCTTCAGGGGCTTGGGAACAGGAGTCTGGGAGACAGATTCATCATTGGATACTTAATAAAATCCTCCACATAACAATACCCACTGGGAGCTCTGAGTAACTCCATGATCTGCGAATACCAGCTGCATTCAAAGGCGATCAGCCTTGTCACAATGGCAAGACTTGGACTGGCATCATAGCCACTTTGCTTCTAGAAACATCAAGAAAGCGAGTGTTTTTCAAAACAAAGAATTCTGTATTTGCTTTGCAGCACATGTACTAAAATCGGAATAATACAGAGAAGATTAGCATGGCCCTTGCGCAGGGATGACACGCAAATTCGTGAAGTGTTTTATATACACACACACACACACACACACACATATATATATATATATACACACGCACACATATATATATACATATATATATATGCAAATAAGTTAGTTTATGCTTCTCTTTAGTAAAAGCAGAATTGGAGAGAGAAAAAACTTGTTTCAGAAGAAAATTATAGTGCACTTGTCACTAGATTCTAGTTCTGTCCATACTTTAAGATTTTTTTGTGAATCAATAAAATGTGAAAAAAAAGTTTAATATGGAAGGGAAGGAGGGGAAGAGAAAAATGGGTAAAAGAATGCTTAATTGACAAAAAATGAGAAGCTACTTGCTGCTGCTGATGTATATAGTAATATCCTTGTCTTGACTGACATGCATGGTATTTGTGTTGGAAACAGAATTGTATATTGTAAAGACATGTGATACAATGTAAAAATAAATAAATAAATAAAAACAAAAAATACTTCAATAAACTTATTTGCTCATTTACTCAACAAAGTTGGAGTGCATTATCTGTGCTACATTCTGGAGACATAAAAAGGGTGAGATAAGGCATTTGCTCCAGTGTCGCTCACCCATAGCTTAGGAGGGGACAGACTGGAACGGTAAAAGTGCAACAGACTTTTGAGTAAACAGGACAGAGAAACTTCCAAGTTTTTCAACTTCTGCTGAAAACCTCAGTAAAACAAGAGCAAAGCAATAAAAAAGACTATCCACCCATTAAACAAAAAGACTGAGAAAGATGACAGCAGATGAAAGCTTCCCACACCATGTGAAAGATGGAAAGCAGATGGGTAAATGGTAACTGGTTTAGTAGGACAGGGAAAGCGGAAACCAAACTGTCTGCCAGGAGGAGTGCCAACGAGGCAAGCCAAGCCCTGCTGCAGAACCAAGAAAGGAGCAGAAAGAGCAAGGAGCAGCGCTCGGGCTGCCGAAGTTCAGGGCAAGGTGCAGAACTGAAAACAGGCTGCGTACCAGCTGATCGCAGAAGCAATTAAACCCCAGATCTGCCCCTCCAATTTGGCAAAAGGTGGACACCTACTATGTGGAGATGTTCAGAGATGAAGATAGAAATGAAATGCGACATTAAAAACAGGGAGACAGAGAAAGTCTGCATTCCAAATGGCGAGATTCTCCTCGCCGGCTCCCTTCTCCCAGCACGATGAGCCCCTTTGCTCTGCTTGTTTCCAAAGTGCTGGCAGCTGCACTGGAAGTTTCTGCGGAATCTGGCCCAAAGAAAAGCCATGCACATATGAACACGAGGGGAGTCCCCAGATAAAACAAGTCACTGTCTTCGACTTGCTCCGAAATCCTGTGGAAAAGACCCGTTCCACCACACAGAGGCTGAAATCGCAGTAGTGCCTCACTCCCGATATGAGTGGTCAGCCAAAGATCGCTAGACAGCTGAGAAAACCTCCAACTTGAAAGACAGACAAAAATGAACAAACGGAAAAGAGGAACACAAGGGAGTAGACACAACAAAAAGGGGGGGGGGACCGTCAAAATCCATAATGTCTTCAGAAATATAAAATAAGACACTATAGCCATGAAGCTTTTAGGTCCTATGCAAAAAGAATATTCAGAGAACGAGAGAGAAGTGTTCGGAATTTTAAATGACAGCAGAAAATAGTACATGAAGTAGAACAAATTGAAGGAAAATATGACTTCACGGGAAATAGGATTTTAATAAAAACCAAAGAAACAGAAAAGAGAGTGGAAGAAAGATAATTAAATTAGAAGATTAACCCAAGAAGCCTAACATTGGACTAACAAAAGTTCTAGAAACAGAGGAAATGAGAGGAGGCACCAGCAGGGGGTGCCGCCATGCCATTCTGGAGCCACCAGGGAGGCTCTGAGTTCAGATCCCGGGCCGACCTGAACACAGTGGTGCATCCTGTGATGCTGGCTAGGCCGGGACAATCACAACGTGGTGAGACTCTGTGAAGGGTACCTCTCTATCTCTCACTAGTGAAAGAAACTGTTTTTAAAATGAGGAGAATGAAAGTATCAAAAAATCAAACAAATGAGACTCCAGAAAATGGAAAAAATAAATAAAAGACTCACTGTGAAATTTCAGAACATCAGGGATAACAAAGAGTTTCCAGAATATTTTTTAAAAATAATCTCATAATACACAAATAATTGGGAACCAGAGTAACATTCAATTTCTCAAGTGTAACTGAAAGCTAAAAGACAATGGACCAGCCTGGCCTGCAGTGCTGGAAGCCACATGGCTGACTACGGATTTAGATCCCCAGCCCTGTCAACCTGAAAGACACTGCTTTCCACATGTGCATACGTGCCCAAGACCCTGACAAGCTGGAAGGTGGGGGCAGAGAATCACAGCATGACAGGGCTTTGTTAAGGGTACACACGCTCTCTATCATGAAACAAATACTATCAAAATACTGGGAGACTAGCATTCCAATCTAGAACTCTATTCCTAGTTAAAGCACCAATCAAGATTCAGGGCAGAATTAAAATTTTCGAGACAGTGACAGTCTTTAAATCTTTACCTATCATGAACCTTTTCTCAGAGCACTAACAGGAGCGTACTCCAGCAACAGAGGAGTGTAAAATGAAAAAGGAAACGTAATCAGGAAAAGAGGTTAGGACAAAGGAAAGAGGTGAAGGGAATGCTCAGGATCACAGACAGGGGAGGGAAGTCTCGGAATAGTGCTGTGTGGGGACCTAGAAAACAACTCAAGATTGGAGCTAGATACAAAGACCTGGAAGAAAAAATTCTAGAGAGAGTAAAAGGTCTAGATTATCTGATCCATTCAATACTCTATAGATGGATAGAATGGGGCGCACACCTAGAAAAGTGAGCAAACCGCAGCAACCACAGAAACCGAAGCGGTAACTGACTCTCTGTGCAGTGCAGGAAGACCACGGGGCAACCTGCAGACTGAGGCCAAGCGTGCCTGAAGAGAGGGGGGTGGCTTAGAAGTCGAGGTTCTGAGGGCCTGAGCCAGAGCAGTACTACTAGGGATGGAGACGTGGGGCCCAGGAAGGGGATGGGAAGGGAGGATAACTTCCTGTACAAGCCCCGTCTGTTACCTTAACTACCAAGACTCTTGCTGATGAAGGGGCTAAAGCAAAGGATGAATACTTAAAACAAAAAAAAGGAGCTTCGTCATAATCAAGTCAATTAACTGGGGGTAGCACTTGGCTTTGCTTCTCTCATTAAGCAGGGTTAAGTAGTTTTAAAAGGATTCAACAAATGCAGTTATTATTCGAACATTGTGCTGGGCACTTTATAAGCCACAGAATTAGGAGGTGTTGTTAGCCCCCATTTTACAGATGAGGCGCAGGGAGAGGAAGTAATTTACCCCCAGTCACAGAGCTGAAAAGCATCAGATATTCAAACCCAAGCTGGCTGTGTTCACAACCTATTCCTTTAGTGGCAGTTTTGTTCTAATAACTACTTAAAATAGTAGTTATGACCTGTGAAGGGAGTATTCTGCACCAAGCACTGACCTAAACCCTTTACATGCATTAATGTAATCTTAGCAACAATCGATGAGATACTTTTATCATCCCCACTTCATAGATGTGGGTTCAGTGACTAGCCCGGGGCCATCCACCTAGTAAGACACAGCGCTAAGACTTGAGCCCTGTCCCTCCTACTCAAGATCCAAAACTATGTCACCACTAGGTCATATCACCTTTTCTGAGGGAGAGGAAAAGTGAGAAATCACACCACAGGAGGAATGGCTACCCCTTAATCCCTTCTTCTTCACTCTCCTCCTTTGGTATGTGCGCACGTGCACACACATGCACACACACACACATGTGCAGGACTCAAAATGTGGTCAGTCATTTGTTTTTGGGTTTTTGAGAGGTTTTTGCTATAGGACGTGTGCACTCCCCCGAAAGACAGAGACAGAAAGCAACAAATCACCCCCCAGGGTGAATGGCCATGCTGCAATCCCTTCTCCTCCATTCTCCTCTAGGGATCTTGGGCACGCATGCACACACCCGGCGTGAGTTTAAGCCACCAGGTCTGGGATCAAATTGCAGTCTACTACATGGACGTCCAGCGACATAGACATTACGCCAACTGCTGGTCCTGTGGTTGGTTATTTGGGAGTCAAGGATTTAACTACCATGCCACCTGCTGGCCCCCTGAAGTGGATTTGATTCCTCCAGATCTCTTTGTTTTCCTCTATCCGATGATGGCTAAGCTAACTCAGCTACCTCTGAGATGTGTCAATGTAGTAAGTGACAGTCAACAAACATACTTCATTTGGTTTACATTGTGTTCTAGTTCCTTAGGAAATCTTTCATAAAAAATCCAGGTTTCCAACATGCCGAGAAACAAAGACACCCAGATTTGACATACTGACCCTTATTCCCACATAGGAAAAGCCACCTAACTGAATAGCAGCTGTCCTGCTAGAGAATATGTATGCAAATCCAAGTTCCCATGACCCAGCCGCTTCTCATATTTACACACTTCGGGCCAGCCAGTGTCACGGTAGTAAGGTGGCTACATCCCATATAACTGACTGCACGGTTCGAGTCCTAGAGCTAATGGCTTGAAAACACAACAGACATGTGTGTGTGTGCCCAAAATCCTGAGAGGAGGGAGAAACCAAGGAGAAGGGATTGCAGCATGACCACCCCCATGTGGGATGATTTCTCATTTTCCCTCTCTCTCCGGCAAGCACACATGCCCTGTAGCAAATGGAAATAAACACACACACACACACACACACACACACACACACACACACACACAAACACTTCACTGATGCCTGGTTCCTTTGGGATCTTGCTTTTTGAGACCCCGTTCTTACTTTAGACCCTTGCCACTCTAGGCCTCTGTACCCTGTACCTCTCGAGTCCTAGAGCTAATGGCTTGAAAACACAACAGACATGTGTGTGTGTGCCCAAAATCCTGAGAGGAGGGAGAAACCAAGGAGAAGGGATTGCAGCATGACCACCCCCATGTGGGATGATTTCTCATTTTCCCTCTCTCTCCGGCAAGCACACATGCCCTGTAGCAAATGGAAATAAACAC